ATAAAAGCACAGAACAACTAAATGTTTGCAATAAGTAGTCCAGGATGTCCTCTGGATAAAGGTTTAATAAAACAAAAAGTGGTGATGATGGTGTATGAAAAAAAAAAGGTTTCTACTTTCTTCTTTGTGCCTTTTTGAATATGTTTGTTTTTAATTTTTAGTAATAAATAACAGTATTTTGTAATTAAGAGTTATTTAAGGTCAATATCATATGTAGGATTAAATACACAAAGTTTGTGTTGGATGTTACAACTCTTTTAAAATACATGTTTTATTATACCTTGGAACACCTGAGTTTAAAACCGTAAGTGCTTGATAACTATATAACTTTATGCAATGAAAGCTCTTAAATAAGGATGTCCACCTCACACCTGTGGCTATAAAGATCAAATATACGTAAAACACTAGGGAAGAGTTCCAGACACTAACTGCTTACCTCTGCTGTTTTCTAGAACGTACCTACTTACCCTAATGGTCTCAAAGCATTGTTTTTACCCTTCAGAGTCTGCTTTCCTCAAACAAGTATGCATAAGAAAATCACTGACTCTTACGTCTTAATCTCTGAGCCTACCACAACTCCCAAAGTGCACTCTCATCCCTTTGTAAGAAATAAGCTTGGCTCATAAAGATTATTGCTCCCTTGCAACAAATTAGCATTGTTTCCTTCAGTTTGCAAGGTAGCTAAACAATTCTTCATGTTTCCTGACAAAAAACTAAACACAATTCAGAACATGCCAAGAAGTGCATGCAGCACACCAATACCAGACAAGACGATGTCATCCATATAGGTACACCTTCAGAGTGGGTTAATTATAACGGAACATTTGCTCAATTGTAACTGTGCAACCCATAAAAGATTCCAAGAGCCAAAGGAAAAATTTGCCTTTGACCACAACAAAGCTTGACTTACCATATTCTCCAAACATTAAAATTACAGGTTTGGGGAGAAAATGATGAGTAATATTTGGAAGTATGCTAGTTTTCATGGGTTGGTATTAACACCACAGTAGCAAAGTTGATTTATTCAAAACCAAAATGCCAATTGACTTAACTGATAAAATTTTAGCACCTCATGTATATTTAGATTGTACTGTTCAAAACACCAAATCAAAAAGCCTTAAATATTTAAAGCCCAACTCCATCATTATCCAGTGATCAAAATATTATTCAATATTATTTCCAAATGCCTTTATAACCTTGCAAAAAATAATGGTTCAGGAGTACTGTCTTCTATGTAGATTGTGACTGATGATGGTTATACATGATAAACTCACTGTAAAAAGAAAATTAAAGGTTAAGATAATTTTGGAATTTGAAGAATCACAAATGTTCAAAAAGAGAGACGACAGGAGAGAGAGAAAACTCAAGCAAAAGGGAATAAAAAAAAATTAAGAAGAAACCAAAGCAACTCGTGAGAATACAAGCAAACAAACAAAAAAAAAAAACTGACAAAAAAAATTCATCAAACCCCAAATTCCTGAAATCAATTAAAAAAAATCCCATCAAAACCTGAGGATTCATCAGAGTTACTTTTAACTTATTCTTTTTTCTCTGGCTTTGAGATGCTACACAAACTCTCCGCCTCTTAGCGACATCCCAGTTGCGGTAGTAATTTAAATAATTATTTTAACTCAGGTATGTGACATAATGAAGGCTAACTGCTAACTCATGATCCTAACAACAAAGACTTAAAAGGAGCAGACTAAGAAGCGAATGATAAATGTAAAAGAAAGCAGTTTCCCACCACTAAGAAGAAATGCCTTAAGTATAACCATTATGTTAAAGGTTTGCGGCTAGAGCTCCATTTAGAACAACAGCACAGGTGGCTATTTCACTTTAAAAATGACAAAAAGCCAGAATGGTTTCCCTCTTGCATTGGTCCATCTAAGAGAAGACTTGCCACACCAGGTGACAGGGATTCCAAAGCATAGCAAGAGGCACCAGCAGATGACTCATCTTTGGCAGGGCTTGCAGGGCAGAAGCAAACCAGGTCAGTGGGTAAGAACACTAACCCTTCAACAAACCTCTAAACCTCGAGGACTTCAGTGGAAGAAACAGAGTTACTTTGATATCTGGAGACTCCTTTTGTTTGTTTTTGTTCTGTTTTGTTTTTCGAGACTCCTTTATAACAAAGTAATGTTTTTACAAAGCAACTCTAAGATTTAGTGTATGTTTAGGATATCACACTACTCATTATCTGTTTTACTGAATTACTTCCCACAGTCTAGTAAGGAAGGACTGTTAGAACGTTGGTTATCTACAGACATGAGGGTAGATAAGTAGCTTATACAAGCTCTCACAGCCAGCATAAGGCAAAGCAGATCCAAAGTGAGGCATCCTGACCACAGAGGATGGATTTCAATTTCACATCTCACCTCCAACCCAGGCATCCTTTTAAAATGCAATTTGTTTCAAATAATGTCTATGGTTCCATTTTCATAAAAAATAAAAATATTCCCCTATTTTTCTTCCAGATATATCAAGACAGAGTCCTTAAAAAGTCATGTTTAATACAGAATTTAATATTTTACTTTGTGGGTAATTATTTCATTTAGGCTATGTATTTTTTTTTCTAATTTTCATGGGAGAAGTATAAGTAAAACAGAACAAATAAGAATCCTTTTGTTACTGAAATAACCTGCCCATTAGTGATCATTAAGTCAAAGAAAACTGAAGATAACTACAAAACCAATTTAAGAGAAAGGGAATGTGATAGGCAACTGAAAGCATTTTGCTATAACTGTCTCCAGTATTTTGTTACCCTAGGCTAAAGAACATAAAGAGGGAAAAGGAATTTTTAAATTTCTATGATGCAGCATTGCCTTTATGCATAACTGTATGTCTCTGGCTACATTTGAGATCAAGTAGTACTGACGAGATGGCTACACAGACACAGTTCCACACATGTACGCAAATACGCATATGCCATAAACATGCACATATATATAATAGTCAGCTATGATGGCCAGTCTTTTCTAGCCTCTCCTGGGCCCAGAAAACATTGATTGCCTTGTAATTACGCTGTGTTTTTAGTTGCATAAAGGCCACTGCTGGTGACTTTTCTAAACATCTCACATTTCTCAAGTTATATTGTCACTTTGTGTTCTATATTAAGCTTCTAAAGAGCACTGGATATTATTCAACCTAATAATACTTTCAGTTATATAAAATGATTCTTCTTTTTCCTGGACCCAGATTAATTCCAATGCTGGAAATGTTTTAAGTCTTATTAAAATGAAATCCACTATGTGTTGGGTAAGATTAAATGCGATTAATCAGGAAATAAAATATTTTGCATTAGCAGCAACCACAATATAGCCCTTTACGAGACTAGAGGGGAATCTCTACATACTTAATAATCTCAAATCTTCAATGGATACAATTCCTCTATCAAAAAGAATCATACGTGCCAATTTGAGCCTTAAAACTTTTACCCACTAAGGAAACAGCTGTGATTAGAAGATATGCAAAAAGAGAATAGTTCCATTACCGAGGCAAAGCTTTCCCACCTACAAGATCTTTATTTGAGGTGCTTTTTACTAATTACTTTATATCTCAACACTGTTTATTATCAGGGTGTCAAACTATTTTTGTTGTGTTTTCTTTCTTTAGTTTACAAGCTCTGCCTTGTTCACTCTCCTTAAAAAGTGGACTGCATTTTTTTTTATTGTTTTTGTGAATGAGTTAGAATCATAACAGAAGGGATGGGGTTCAAGAGAAGGTAAATGAGCTTTCCAAAGTAACAAAAAGTAACTATATATGAATCCTCGGAAGGTCTCATTTTTAACATGCTTTCTTACTGCAAGGCTTAATGAATAAATGAATGAATGAACTCTGAATACTCGTCATTGTTTGGGTGGTTGGTTTTGTTGTTTTGTTTTTCTCTGTGTAGCCCTGGACATCCTGGAACTTGCTCTGCAGACCAAGCTGGCCTTGAACTCACAGCTTCTGCCTGCCTCTGCCTCAGGAATGGCCTTTGCTTCCTTTCAATTAAAATCACTTTGAGATCTCTCTCTCTCTCTCTCTCTCTCTCTCTCTCTCTCTCTCTCTCTCTCTGTCATACACACACACCACTCTCACTTTCAAGAACTAAGGGTTTATAAATGCCTCTTCCTCTGTCAATAAGTAATTGATGCAAAGAAGATGTAGAAACACACCTGCGTGAGAGGGATTTAATTCCATTATAAAAAGGAATCTTGCTCCCCCACCACCAAAGAAACACAAAGGCATGTTATCTAACGCACAAACCAATATTAAGTTTTTTATGGGGCTAGCCTGCCTTTTGCTCAACTTCATAAATCCTCTTCATTTTTATTGGACTTGAAATGCGTCCCCTACCCTCTCCCTTGCTGCCCGGGAGTCACATTTTTAGCGCAGTTTGCACACTCGCATTTCGCACGGTCATCCTAATCTAATCGCCCCCGACCTCTTCAAAAAGCCTAAATTAGCCTAGCTTCTTGGCTATGGGTTGAGTCAGAAGCACCGCAACAGCTTCCCAGGGTTTTCTCTCTGCATCGTCGTCTTCTTGTTCCCTTGCCTGCATTTGAGAAACGCATCAAGGATACAAGACACTCGCGGGAAGCCCTGCTGGCCCCTGCTGCCCTAAAATTAAAGCACGGCTTCCCTTGGAATTGCGCTTTAGCTTAAAAAGCCCTGCACACGCAGGGTATCCGATCTGATCCCCAGTCCCGGCCCGTGGGGTGTGTGTGTGCGCCGTGCTATTTCATAGGTGAGGTGAGGATCGTGCCCAGAGCCCCGGTCCTAAGGGCCGCCCACGGCCAGGTGGAGGAAGCAGCCGACTGGCGGGAGGGCAGACGTGCCACCCGCAGCCTCTCACCTGGCGGCCGGGCGACCGAGACAGGGGAGCAGGGCCTGGCGGTGGCGGCAGCTCGCAATGTCGAGCCCCCTCCCACCCCGTCCTTCTACGCCAGGCTGAGCCGGGACCCCAGACCCCGACGCGCCGCACGTCCCCCCCCCCCTTCGCCCCCAACTAGGCTCACCGTCGGATCTCTCCAGACAGCGCCCGGAAGGGCCTGAGAAACTTCGCGTCCGCTGCAGTCTGCCGGCGTCGGAGACACACGGTCCGAGGCGACCGCAGCGATGGTCACCCGAAGGCCTGTGGGCGCGGGGAAAAGAAAAACCCTCACCCAGTCAATAGGCTGACATTTCCCAGTCAGCCTGAGCTCCGCCCACTTCCGCTCGTCCGTCCTTCCCCCGCCCCCCCTCCCGTCCCGCCCTGCGCCGCGGAGGGTTGTGGGTATCCGTAGGGCTGGGCAAAAAGGAGGAGGGAATCTAGTCGGACAGCGAGCACGCCCAGAACTACAATTCCCAGCAGGCAACGGGGCGTCAGAAGGCGGCTGCTGGAGAGCGGGATGCAGAACTCCGCGCGCGCGGTGGTGATGGAACGTTGCTAGTTCGCGGGTCCGGCTGTGGGGCCCCGTGGGGGGAATCTCTCTGCGCCGCGCGCTGGAGCGGGAGTCTGGAAGCAGGCAGATCTTCAATTAATGCACGCATTCAAAACCCCTGAATCCGTGGACGCAATGCACAGGTAAACCGATTGCAAAAACGGGGCAAAGCATGAATGAATCGTTTGAATGCTTTTAGGCCGCGAATGTTGCTCCTTGCTCAAATAATCTTTTTTTGTGAGTGGTTGCCTAGCCCCTTTTTTTGAAGAAAGTGGATGGATGCATGCTTTAGTGAGAATATCTGTGCCTTTCAATTCGGCTCTCTAATTGGGTTTTCCTCCCACTCTTTTGAATCATGGTATGAATGCTGTCCCTCTTTTTCCCTCCACGGGAAGAAGTTATTGAGGCCTTCTGCGTGACCATCAGTCCCAAAGCCTTTCATAGTGGGGTGTGTATGGGTTTCCGATTTTCTCTTTTCATTCTTGGAAGCTTGCTGCAGACATGTTAAATTGCAGTATTGTTTCTTGGTGTGACTTTTCCACACTGCGTACTTGACGCTTCTTTCATTCCTGCCTTGGAATTATTTAGGGGTGTGCTTTCACAAGGATTGGGGAATGTGTGCCCTTCTGCAGGAAGCACCTTCAGGAGATTCCGGACCAGAGTAGCAACGTCACCACCAGCTTCACGTGGGGATGGGATTCCAACAAGACTTCTGAACTGCTCTCCGGCATGGGTGTCTCTGCCTTGGAGAAGGAGGAGGTGGACAGTGAGAACATTCCACATGAACTGCTCTCAAACCTCGGCCACCCTCAGAGCCCCCCAAGGAAACGGCTAAAGAGCAAAGGCAGCGAAAAAGACTTTGTGATCATCCGTCGGCCTAAGCTCAATCGAGAGAACTTTCCAGGTACCGTATGGCACTAAAATTCAAGTTGTGTAAGAAATGGATCGAAGTGTTCTGTTTTGAACTAAGTTGATTGAACTATTTCCTTGGGGAATCTTTAGGATGGGTACCTAAAACCGCCTAGTTTTGAAGTGTTGCAGTGAAGTGGAAAGCAGTCTCTTACGGAATCTTGGTAGGTCTTTATCTTCTGGTTCACAATTGACTTGAAACTTTTAACCCAGGAGACAGCATTCCTGCCCTTTTCCTTACAAGGGAATCTCCCCGCTCAAAGTCCAGCTCAGCACACTGATAAATGGGGATATAAGCAAGGGTCTCAGAGGATTGCTTTGGTCCTAATCCACTGCTCTGTACCAGAGTGAACTTTATATCTTAAGCATTTAGGTTATTTGTAGACTCATTAGGAAGGTAAATGTTAATCTAGGAGGAGGATGTTTACCTCCCTGCTCCACTTGTAACAGACTCCTGGGGTGCTGAATTTCCATTACTGTGGCGTTATAGTTACAGTCATAGAGCCCTAAAACTTAGTCTGGTCCCCAGTGTTCCCCTATATCCAGCTAGCTAGTCATTGTGGCTAAACCTCATGTGTAACAAATGATCCAAACAATGGGTTTATAGTTTCAGCTTTTCTCTCAGTTCTATCTCCCGATGTAAAATGGATTGATGAAAATGGGATTTACCTTAAATGAGTCCCTTACTAGTGACTCCCAGTCCCTGATTCCCCAAGCATTTGTAAATCAGTGCCCCCAGGGTAGATCAAGACTCCAGCACTCAGCCACAGAGTAAATAAAGTGTATTGACCTGAGGCATAGTCAGGGTTTTTGTGTTGCTTGTTTGGTGAGCTTTTTTGTTTTGTTTTCTTTTAGTCTTGTAAAAGAGTGATTCAGCAAGTATTTGCTGCAGAGATACACCGTGTGCTCCACAGTTTAATGCTACGAATACAGCAGTGAACAAAACATACACATTTTTAAAGAGCTTAGAGCGTCCTTTCCAGTGAGGGGATTATACTGTAAACACAGTGGACATGCTATTTTATGTGATGTGTTAGGTCCATGGCAGCTAAAAACAAAAATACATGAAGAGTGGGAGAATGGAAGTCCTGGAGTCAGAAGATAGAGGTCAAACTGGGTGTTGACGAAAACCCTTAATTGGGCAGCTACCTTTAAGCAAAGGCAAGGAGGGAGAGAGCAAGAGTAGGTCTGGAAAATGTCTCCTGGTGTAAAGAACCTAAGGCAAAAGGAAGAGCCACTGTAAGATCCCAGAGAACAGGACGAGCCATATAGTAAGGGTAGAATAGGGAGGGAGAAAGATGCTTCCTGGTGGACTTGAGTACTTAACGGTCTTGCCTCATTGAACACGCCCAGTCCTTCTTTTTTGTTTTTTTTTTTTAATATTTATTTATTTATTTATTTATTATGTGTACAGCATTCTTTCCACGTGTGCCCGCATGCCAGAAGGGGGCACCAGGTCTCATTATAGATGGCTGTGAGCCACCATGTGGTTGCTGGGAATTGAACTCAGGACCTCTGGAAGAGCAGTCAGTGCTCTTAACCACTGAGCCATCTCTCCAGCCCTTTTGTTTTGTTGTTTTGAGACTGGGTTTCTCTGTATAAGTGACCCTGGCTGTCCTGGAACTCTAGACCAGGCTGGCCTCAAACTAACCCCTGCCCACTGAACCCTTGAAAGGGACACGTTGTTAAACAGACTGAACTGTAGCAGATAGAGGATACATGCTCTGAGACTTGTTACCATATGGGGAGAGAGGAGCAGTGCTCAGAGTCTGGCCAGAGTTGAGACTGTCAGTGGAGGTGAGCGGAGTCGACACGGAAACAGGATGAGTGGTGGATGGGTAAACAGACTGAGGAAAGCATAGATGTGAAGCCCTGCAGAGCCAACGTAAATACCCGCTTTGTAGTCTGGTGTGGTGGCCCACGCCTTTAATCCAGCACTCTAGAGGCCGAAGCAGGCGGATCTCCTGTTAGAGGCCAGCCTGGACCAAACAGTGAGCTCCAGCAGAGTATCTCAAAAAAAAAAAAGAAAAGAAAAGAAAAAATCTGTTCTGGCTTCTCAAAACCTCTGTAAGAAAGGGAGCGAACCCACATCAATGCCAGGTATGGTGTCTGGTGGCCACATCTCTAGTCCCGGGGCTTAGGAGGCTGAGGTGGGAGGCTAGGGGATTCCCGGAAAGCATGAGCTTTGCGGTGAGGCTGCCTCAAAATTGGAAACCTAAGCAAATAAATAATAATATATGAGGTCAACTAGAGAGTTATGGAGGTAAGTTCAGACAAATCTGCACTTGAATCCTGATGCCGCCATTTATCTCTCTTGGGAAATTACATGAGCTGTCTGAGGAGGAGACTTTGAGTGTCCTGGGCTGGATGGGGGCGGGGTGGGGGTGGGAGGAGCCCTTGGTGCAGCACTAACTCACCTCCAGTCCTGCTGGTTGAGTGAGGGCCTTCCTTCCCTCAGCCAAAGTGTAGAGGAGAGGACCTGAACTGGCGCAATCAATGAGTCTGCACTTGGTTGTCTTTGTTTCTCTATTTATTATTATCTAAGACAGACCTTGCTGTGTAACCCTGGTTGATCTGGTATTCACTGTGTAGTTTTGAAATCTCAGCCTTCCTCTTGCTTCAGCCCGCCTCACGAGTGCTAGGAAGGCAGTAATGAGATACCACACCCAGCTTCTGTTGTTTATTTAATAGGCTCTCCTTGTCCAGGATGACCTTGAACTCGGGACAGTCCTGTCCGCTTCCCAAAGGACAGTCCTGTCTCCGCTTCCCAAATGGTCGGAGTGTAGTCAGTCAACCCAGAAATGAGCCTAGACTTTAAGACTGACTTTTAAAACGTATGCCTGAAATGAGGGAGGAAAAATCTTGACTTTTAGGATTATTGTGACCTAGGAATAGGGAAGGCAATGGCATGCATTTCTGCATACATGGACTTACATGTGCATGCATTGGTCAATTGCTGTGGCTAAGGAGTGAGCTCGTGCTGTAAGCTGAGAGAGACAGCTGCAGGAGAGGAGTCCCACCAAGCCCCCAGAAGCCAGCCTAGGCCTCCAGTGTGGCAGGGTTCTCACTGCACCGAATTTTGCTTGCAGTTGTCAGGACAGGTGGCTAATAACTGCCAGGATTAGGGCAGGACAGGCTCCACCTGCTGTACACAGTGATCTGGTAACTGGCCCGGGGCTTTTGTTGGTTCTTTGCTAAGCAAGCTTTCCCCACAGGCTGCATTCCAGCCTCACATCTGGCAACCCCTCATCTGTGTGTGTGGGATGATGAAAGCTGTGTGGCCATCCATCCTATAGCAGAGCAGGTCTGGTTGTCCCTTGGGGCCAGGGTACAGGAGGAATTGGGAGGAAGGAGTCCAGAAATGAAGCCAGCTGCGGAAAGAGGGCAATCGCGTTTTGTTTATGGTCATTAAATGCCTGTTCCCTGCCTTTTAAATAGGTGAGGATCATAGAAATGTGGCTGAACTAATGTGTTGAGCAGCTCTTCCATGGCTGTGAAACCACTGCAAACTGCAGACCCTACAAAGGTCTCTCAGACTGGAAACTCCAAAGTTCAGGGTATATCAGAATCCACAAGGGACCTTGTCTGAAGTAAAGAATTCCTGAGCTGCTGATCCAAGAATTTCCTGAGCCTGAGAATCTGTGTGTTAATATCCCAAGGCAAACATTTTTCCTCTCAGTCCTTTTTTAGCTAGTAAGAAATATATTTTATATTGTAATAGGGGGATTTGAAACAAGAGATTCATAGAACTATCATTTTCCTGTCCCTAAGATATTCTATTCTACATTATTCTTAAGATAATAATAATAATAGGGCTGGGAAGATAGCTCCACAAGTCAAGGCTTTTGCCTGCAATCCTGAGACCCTAAGTTCCCATCC